CACCAATTATAGAATCACCCATGTCTTGACACTGTTTATACTGAGGTCGCCGCTCTAAATAGCATGACGCAGCTCCTCTTTTAGTAATATAGCTGCTTGGGAAAGCCACGACAGCTTTAAGGGGCTTTGATTCATCCAAGTGATTCAGTTCCTTTAGAATCAGTATACTCAGTGTTGCCAACTTAGCAATTTTGTTACTAAATTTAGCAACTTTTCAGATTACCCTAGCAACTTTTTCTTCCAAAAGCACCTAGCAACAAATTTAGATATTTTTAAAATTTATTTGGCAACTTTTAGCAACTTTTGATTAGTGACTCAAATGATAAAAAGGAACATTTATCATTTAAATTACACAAAAAGAGAAAACCAAAGATGCCTAGTAGTGCACACAGCACGTGAATTAAGTTAGCTGCTATTTGCAATTGTTTAATTTAATAATAATAATAATAATAAAATAATTGAGTAATTTAATAATTGTTCATTTATGATACACTTTGTTAGTAGCTTGTACTTGCGATTGTTGATGAGTTGGTACACTGTAAGAAAAATGGAAAAGGTACTAGTAATTTTCCAGGACATTATCCATTATCGATTATCTGCTGTAACCCGAAAACACAAAATACAATGCGCAATTAAAAATGCAGGTAAAAAACCTGTGGAAAAATCAATAGCCTACAGAAAATTCCTTCATGTTAACATAGTAGATTGTGCCCTATTTTACAGACTTTTCTTAAGAGTGTAGCACATTAACTACTAATACACTGCTTAAAACTATAACTGTTCAGAATGTGTAGTTTTACTTGTTTACTAGCTAATAAAAAAATACATAAATTGTAATCGTTCAAAAATGTGTACGTTTTCAAAAATGTAATGTATTTAAAAATAGTTATTTACATTTTAATATTATATTATGCATTTCTATTATTTTACGAACAAATCTAAATTAACATATATAAAATATATTATTGCTGAGATTTGATGCAGTGACAATTTTGCGCCGTAATTACGTAATGACGTCATCGTGCAATGGCATCACAATGTCATTTAGCAACTTTGAGCAACAAATCAACCTTCCTTTAGCAACTTCCCCTGAAGCCTGGGGAGAAGGAATGGGATGGAGCATCGAATAATTATTTAAGTAGGAATATTTGTGTATATACGTGTGTAAGAACAGGAAAAGCAAAAACAAGGAAGAAATTGATTATAAATAAACCATGACTGCATAACAGCAAAAGTAGGTGGCGATATGCACACAGGATGTAACACGCCAAAAAACGGAAGAAGAAGAAGAACTTCCCCTGAAAATTAGTTGGCAAAATTCATCCACTGGTGCTTCCTGCAGATTGGATTGTTACAATAGGTGATGGCAAGTGAATTACTTTTATTAGTATTATTAGTGTATTAGGTATTATTAGTGAGTCATTAAATCGTTCACTCGATTCGTTAAAACCGTAAATCATTCATGCAAGTCTTTATTCTTCCTCCATTTTCAACTGTTGAGCATGATGACGTTTATCGAGCTTTCCTGAAAATTTTCCTGATAATTTTCCTGATAATATTTTTTTATGTAATCAATCATCAGCAGTTCTTTACGGATATGAGATTAATTTTCATTCAGTTCGTTAAGAACACTCCTTCATTCGTTTTCATTCGTCGTTCATACTGAAAACATAGAATCAGTGAAGGGACGTAGGCTATTTACCCTGCGTTCCATTCGGAAGGGCTCATCCCTATGCCCTAATCCCTTCAAAGGGTTTACCCTCCGGAGCGAGAGCTTCGAAGGTTTGAACTTTGAAGGGTGTAGGGGACCAAACAACTGTTTCTTGAAGTGTCCTTCTGCCTCATCATCACGTGCCCACACGGAAGCACCGTCATCATGCAAAGAATCTGCACAAAGGATCTTGGGAGCCCGAAGTGTCCATCAGTTGTATCCTTCGTATCCTTCATTCCAAAGGGCCCTTTGAAGTGGCCAGTTTTGAGCACTTCGGTTTGGAACGACCCTTCAATATGGCTGCCATGATCGTTTTTACTCCGAAGTACCCTTCGGAGGGCTATATATCCCGTTTGGAATACACCGTCGCTCTCTATGTTCAACCAAATGCCTTCACAGCGAAATTCCTCTTTGAAAAAGGTAAAGCAATGTTTCAGAATGGATTCCGTGTAGATAAAAACGTTTTATATATATATAAAAAACAAAGGTAATAAGAAAGCTCATGTATGGCCTCTCTGCTGCACATAGACAAAACAGAAAGTTCTGGTAAGTTCATGAATGGCATGACTGAAGCCATAGGTCATGCAACTCATCTGAGCAGCAGCACTACATCATGATATCAATAAATATGAATAATGCGTTATTTACATGCATAAGTGTGATATTGGAATCGTGGTTTGAGCATTGAGCATGAATTAAAATATAATAAAAAAATTTGAAAAAAAGAAAATGCATGATAAACTATTATATAATTTTTAACTACAACGAGGGACAAATAGATGCAGAGAGAACTGTTTGACCGACATGGCACGGATACAAACAAACGTGATTATTACAACATCACAAACATTTTCTGCATTAATTGCTCCCCCTTGGCTTACCTGAAAACGTTTGCATTCGCAAGGTGCATCTTTATTGTTTAATGTTTTTAAATCCTTAATTGCGATTTTTGTGTTCCTTTTCTGCACCCTACAGTTACTACAGACTGCGCAGATTTGAGCTCAACGCATGCACCGTATGACTCCTGCGTGATCCTGTTCCTCATGCGTCCTTGATAGTATTCCAGCGCGCACTGTTCTGTCTGTGCTGCGTTTGGCATTCACTTTGTTTGGCATTCACCCCCCCAAAAAATTTCAAGATTTTTTTTCTTCTTTTGATAGGACTACCATCTAGCGTTCAAATACTAAATTACAGCCAGCCATGCATCTTTTGGTCACAACTGTAGAAATAGGTTACCCTACTCAAGCATGGATTATGGGCCGAGCCATGGGGTCCTCTTTAGCAATAGTATTTTCTGAACACCTATAGCATCTTTAATGTTGTATATTTGGAACCCTTGATCATTTTAGACTAGGTAAAGTCCCTGACTTGGGGCAATGTGATAGTTAGAAAGCATCTGATTTGTCAATGTGGTTTGCTGATCTGGGATCAGGGGACTTTGATTGTTTACATTGGGCCACATCTGAAAAGTCTTCCAGAACATGAAAAAACTCGATAGTACCTCCATCCTGCACAGAATGTAGCGGCAAAGAAAGAACAAAGCATATTTATTATTCCCTTGTGTTCTTATACGATATCTATAGACACAAAATTACAGCCGGCAGTAATGATATCAACCGAAGACAATTTATAGAAAGGAATACAAGGGAGAAGCAGAATATGAGTTAGAGAGAGAGTTAGGGATTATACAGTCTTATTCGCTTTATGGCATTTGCATATCCTTGCTCATTTGTGTCTCTCTGAGATTAGATTATGCCCTTAAGAAATGAAAGGAATGTCCCACAAGTTTGCTAATCTTGTTCATGGCATTAACTTGCATTGGTCAGTCAATGAAAACTCGTCCTGTGTGACCTTTACATTCCTTTAAACTTATGTTGCTTTAAAGGCAAAATATAGATGGTTATTTAGGTGGAATATTTCTCCAGGATGTGGCAAATGTTCTTGTTTGACCATCTCAGTAAGTTTTGAATTGTCCTCCTTTTTGTGGGTTTCAAGGCAATCTGCACAGGCTAACACTTTTTCAAATTCATCTACTCTTCACATTTTTACCATGCCATATATTTTTCCTTCCATCTTTACAAAACCTGCAAAGGTCTAGAATCTGATTTTTACTGGAAATGATGCCTGGTATTAATGATTGAATTGTCATGAAGCAATATATGTGGTTGTAATGATGAAACTCGACTAGAATTGTCCTTGGGTTTTTATTGATATGTATCAGTAGTGTTTATTGAAACAATAAAATGAGAATCCCATAGAAATAGGTTGAAAAAGCATGACAGCTTTTGTTTGTTTCTTTGTTTTGTTTTGACACATCTTTATCACAACCCAAAATTCAGGTGGTTTCTGTGAATTACTTAACGTGTATGTAAACTGAGACAGTTTGTCACAATTAAACTATGCTTACGTAGGATGATTAATATTAAAGGGTTACTCCACCCCAAAATGAAAATGTTGTCATTAATCACTTACCCCCATGTCGTTCCAAACCCGTAAAAGCTTCGTTCTTCTTCGGAACACAAATTAAGATATTTTTGATGAATTCTGAGAGCTCTCTGACCCTCCCATAGACAGCAATGTAATTACCCCGATCAAGGACCAGAAACGTAGCAAGGAGATCGGTAAAATAATCCATGTGACATCAGGGGTTCAAACGTCATTTGACGAAGCTACGAAAATACTTTTTGTACGCAAAGAAAACAAAAATAATGGCTTTATTCAACAATTCGTCTCCTCCACGTCACCTTGGATTGTATCCACTGAACACAAACAGTGCTGTTCTGTGTCAGCTGCACCGCGAGGATACGTTTTCTACTTTATTTACGCTTTGATTTGAACGAAAACAACATATCCACGTGACGCAACTGACACAGAATAGCATACGCTGTTTGTGTTCAGTGGATACTCTCCAAGGTGACGAGGAGGAGACGAATTGTTGAATAAAGTCGTTATTGTTTTGTTTTCTTTGTGTACAAAAAGTATTCTCGTAGCTTCGTAAAATTACGGTTGAACCCCTGATGTCACATGGATTATTTTACGATCTCCTTGCTACGTTTCTGGACGTTGATCGTGTTAATTACATTGCTGTCTATGGGAGGGTCAGAGAGCTCTCAATGCATCAAAAATATCTTAATTTGTGTTCCGAAGATGAACGAAGCTGTTACGGGAATGGAACGACATGGGGGTAAGTGATTAATGACAACATTTTAATTTTGGGGGTGGAGTAACCCTTTAAGGTGAAAGCAATAAAATAATTATATACATAGGGTGGACAGGAAAAACAACGTACTTACACGATCACTGTTTTAACATGACAATTTTTTTCTTAAATATCCTCAAAATATCAATTAAATCATATTTTATAGGCCTATAAAAAAATCGGAGCCAGTAAGATTTTGAATGTTTTTGAAAGCATTGTCTTATGCTCACCAAACTGCATTTAGTTTATTAAAAATACTGTAAAACAGTCATACTGTAAAATATTATTACAATTTAAAAGAACTGTTTTATTAGCCTATTATTATTTTATTATTTTTAAAGTGTAATGTATTCCTGTAATGGCAAAGCTGAAGTTCCAGCAGCCATTATTTCAGTTTTCAGTGTCAAATGATCCTTCAGAAATCATTCTAATATGCTGATTTGGTGCTTAAGAAACATTTCTTATTATTATCAATGTTGAAAATAGTTGTGTTGCTTAACTTTTTGGTGGAAACTGATACATTTTTTTAATATATATTTTTTTCATATAAATTTTCTTTTAATTTCTTTAAATCTTACCGACCCCAAATATTTAAATGGTATTGTATAACATTGAAAAACACTAAATTTAACATTCTGCAGATCTTACAAGACTTAGTTTTAAACTTGTTTTATAAAAATTGTACAAAAATATACAGAGAAGCTACAGGAAAGAAGAAAGCAAGAAAAAAATGAACACCACAACCAAAGCTATAATCTGAAGGTAAGTCAGATAATTTGGCATAATGAAGGTAGGGAGGAAGAGGTGAAGGTGAGTTGCAGTTATCATAGAACAGCTGGAAATTCTTGTCTATGGCCATTTTGTTAGTCAGGTAGTTCTCCAGATCCTGCACAGTGAGCTCTTGGACTCTGTTCCCCTCCTTTGTGTTCTTGGCAAGGGCTGCTTGGGTCGGAAAATGGATGCGTATGTTGTGTGGTGCGTTCCGGTCATATTCGGCGCAGCAGTAGGCAGACCACACGTCTTCAGGGATGCCAACACGGTCCTGGTTGTTGCGCCGGATCATGTTTCCAGTAGTGGTAACCCCAGTTATAATATAGGCTGTACCCCGACAGAAGTTGTTGAGGCGCACACGGATGCGTTCTTCGTGTTCGCGCCATGGTCCGATGTTAAACTCACGAATTTCTGGCACAACGTTGGTAAGCGTGTAGGTGGCTGCTCGGTCCTGTGGGTCTGACTGGTGCTGGTCTGGATTCAGATGGCCTCTCTCATACAGAACCACATCAGAGTAGTCATTCAAAACCGCCTGGCTGTCCTCAAACTTCATGTGTAAGTATCCGGTGGGGAACGGCATCATGTTCCCATTCCCATCAAGCTCTGCAAGCTAGGAAGAAGGTCAACACATCATTACAAAGAAGAAAGCCAGTCCTCAAACTCTCGGAAAAGCTGTCACTGGGGTTTCAAAAGGTACACCTTTGTATCTTATTTACTCCAAGGGTTAATATTAGTACCTAAAATTGACATATAAGTACCTTTTGAAAGGGTACCATCCCAATAGCAGTTTTTGTACTTTTTGTTCTGAGAATGAATAGTTTCATACCTGAGGTTCATACATCCAGGGATAGTCCACACGCCGATCGCCCTCTGTTTTCTTGAAGGTGTATGCAGAGTAAACTGGGATACGGTTTTTGGAGTCGAACAGGGTTACATATCTGGGTTTGCCAGCATAGTGCTGGCAGATCTTCTTGAGTCTGCTATTTCTGAAGCCTCGTGGTGGGGTGCCCATATACAGCGTGTCCTTGCATCTTTCAACATGGTTGAAGTCTTCAACTACGGTTGCAGTTCCCCAGTGTTCAGAGAGCAATATTGTGATGGCAAGGGTCAGAAGGATGACCGAGGGACTCATTTTAATCAAAGGAGCTTCTCGACAGTCTTACTTGAGCGCTTCTTTGATAGAATGAGAGAGAGAGGAATTCGAAGCTGGTTATTTTGAATAGCATTGATTAGATAAACAAAACAGAACTGATGAGACTTTGCCTAAATGAGAAGAGTGCGTCCTGCAGGTGAACTTGTACAAATGTGGCTTTACATGGATCTAGGATACAACATTTTAACTTTTTTTCTACCTCAAGGAAAACAATATATTATTGTTGTTGTTTGAACTGCTTTGATCTGTAATTTGTCCTGCACTATTGGTGTTGTAGAAATTAATAGTTGAGGAGAGGTGTCTTATTATCCAGAGACGTACATTGAACAAGGGGCCAGAGCCACATCAAGAAGTCATGAGCCACTATTCCACTGTCAGGCCAGTGCGACCCAGTGCTTTAAACGGGCCGGGCGGGGCTAATAGCCTCGGACCTGTAGCACCGTGCCCAAAATCACGATGCGTTTCCACCGTCGGGCCAGAAGCTCCCCTGCGCTTCACTAAAACCTGCCCTTTACACGCCTCTCTGGAACAACGTCACGCAACCCCATCATTTCACCAACAAAGAGAAGTTATCAGATAACTAACGTTAATCAGAAAGTCACTGGAACTAGCGCGATCACAAAACGAACATTATAAAGGGGCCGTTTGTTTGCATGTTTTGTTAAAGATTTAAATCCAAAAGCATCAATGTTTTACAATAATAAGTGATACATTGATCATAATTAATTAATTTATCAGGATTGAAAATTAGTCTCAGAATAAATTGGTATGAACCGTTATTTCACAAAAGAAAGAGGACAGCCTACTTATTCAGTCGAGTCTGTTTCTGTTTATTTGTAGTCACAGTATACATCACATTTAGAGAGAATACTCATTTCTATATTTTTTCCATCAAAAATACGACCTGAGTAGCAGAGGGAGCTCCCGAACAAAAACCATTATTATGATATTTTTTATGACATACGTGGAGCTAAAGTCTCGAGATGAGACTTATGACAGATAAAATGTCACTAAATAAATACACAATTGTGATCGAGAATGAGAAGCTGACATCTGATTTCTTCAAGCAGTCGTATTTACCATGTTTACTATGGTAACGTTAATGGCTAGCATGCTCTTTTGCATCGCTCATAAATACCTGTTTCTGCCTTGTATGGTGATCATAATCCACACTGGATCTCAGACAGAAATTTCATACACTCGCTGCTGTCTGAAAGTGAGTTTTGAGCTCAACTTATTTTAAAAGTCTTTGATTCTGGTGTCATCTGTTAAAGTCCCGTGAAATCAAAATTAAAGTTTTTTTGGGTGTTAGTATCAATATGTTAATCTTAAGGTTATATATAAGGCAGTGTGCTCCAAAACACTGACAAAATTCGCATTTAGCACAAAATGTATCGGAGCTATTTGAATTCTACACAGAATGCTATATTTTATAGTAATATGGATGAGATTGTGGCTGGCATACCCTGTCAAATGCGGCTTTACGGAGCTCAACGGCTCTGAACGGCTCCAGCCCAAGCTGTGATATAAACGAACGCTATTGGCTATTTTAAAAAGGGGCGGGGCTGCTTGATATGTCCCGCCCTGTCTTCCTGTTTCAGTTAAAATGACGTCAACACAGAGTAACGCTAAGTGTTTCTAAGCATTTCAGGGGACCTTTAACTTTCTGAAATGATCCGCAGCGCTGATGCTCTCCAGACTCGGAGAAACTCCGCCTTTGTTCATAGCCACTCCTCTAGCCCCAGTTGGCCCGCTTTGGCCCAATGTTTTCGTCGGGCCAAAAAAACTTAGGCCGTTGGCCTCGAGGAAGCACCGACAAGGCACGATCAAGCGCCGGAAATGACCATGGAAACACGAATAGCCCTGGCACGCACTAGCACGCCCGCTTTTGGCCCGACAGTGGAAACGCGGCTATGGAGACTTGAGGGTGGGCCATGTTGACTTGACTTGGTTTTGTAAGAAGCAAGAGCACACTAGCATTGTAGTCCTGCAAGTTGCAAGGTGGGGGCTCCATGGATTGGATTTGTTGGTCCAGCACATCCCTGAGATGCTCAGTCGAGTTGAGATATGGGGAAATTGGAGGCCAAGTCAACACCTTGAACTTTCTGTCATGTTTCTTAAACCATTCCTAAACAATTTTGTAGTGTGGCAAGGTATATTTTCCTGCTTCAAGATGCCACTCTCATCAGGGAACACCATTGCCATGAAGGGGAGTCTGCATCTGCAACAATCTTTAGGGAGGTGGTATGTGTCAAAGTAATGCCAGCACATGATTCGAGGACCCAAGGTTTCCCAGCAGAATGTTGACCAGAACATAACTCTGCCTCTGCCAGCCTGCCATCTTCCCATAGTGCATCTCCTGCCATCTCTTCCCCAGGTAAATGATGCACATGTACCCGGCCATCCATCAGATCTAAAAGAAAACGTAATTCATCAGACCAAGCAACCATCTTCTATTGCTCCATGGTTCAGTTTTGACTCTCACTAGCCATTGCCGTTTTTAGTTGTAGACGGGTCATCATGGGCACTTTGATTAGTCTATATAACCTGATACATGGCAAACAATGATGCACTGTGTGTTCTACACCTTTCTATCATGGCGATCATAAAGTTTTTCAGCAATTTAAGCTACAGTAGCTCTTCTATGTGATTAGACCAGATGGGCTTGCCTTCGCTCCCAAAGTGCATCAATAGGTGCTTTCGCACCGCGTAGTTCTATGTCTCCCTCGAGCAGTTTTCCTGGTTGCATTCGCAGGATCTCTGAAGCGGCCGACAGTGATGTCTTTATTCGTGGCATTTACAAACGTTAACAACCGGTGAATAGAGGACGCCTTGTTCGGAGCTGTTTCTGTTGTGTTGTGGGTTTCATGGTAACGGAGATGTTATGTAAACGCATTTGATATTTACGCGATTGAAAGAGCATGAAAATCTGACTAAATCTCCTATGACAACTTATAGTGTTACCATCGAGGCTGAGAAAAGAACACAATGCTGCAGACAACAGGTACATGCCATTATCACTGTTTTCTGTGTTCGTGGAGTAAATATCTTTACATGGCTTTTTAAAAATGCAGGGTAGCTGGTGTTTCGTATGCGTTTGGCCAATCAGCATACACTTACGTCACTAATAGTTCCTATAGAAGTGTTTTAGACTCCACTCTGAAGTAGGAGCTAAATTAATTTCCCCAAATGGAGTTCCTAGAACTAAATACGTTCCTAGTTAATGCGGTGCGAACACGCCAAAAAGCGGGAACTTCTGCCAATAGTTCTAGGAGCTATGAATAGGTTCCTCCGGTGCGAAAGCGCCTAATGAGCCCTGGGTATCTAGGACCAGGGGTGCCACTATGGTTTCTGCCTCCCTTGTTAGAACATCCAACAAGACTTGAGTGTATATAGCTGTGTGTATATAAGTGTGTGTGTCTCATTTACTCCAGAGTAAATCACACAAGTAATAGTTATCCTCTCCTTTTAACCAGCAGCTTTCTTTGTAAGGAGTAAAGGAGGGAGAGACACGATGGTTCAGGAAAATGCTGTGCAGAAACCTTATCACATATTCCCAGAACAAATGATTCTCTCTCTCTTTCTCCATATATGCAGGTCCTCTTTTCTGTAGAGCTAATCATCTTTATGGCTAACTTGTATGGTTGTCTTATAAAATGTAAATCAGGCTATTCTATACTCCCCATCGCAAGAGAACAAACAGTCCTCAATAGAGTGTGAAGAGGTGATGAAAGAAAAAGGAATACAGAGATAAGGCTGTCTGTATGAAGTCTGTGTCCTGTGTGGACAAGGGATTAGGAAGGAACGGGGCTTCGTTCACCTCCTCTTTATGCCACTTTTATTTGGTTATCTGATATTACATGAGTCATCTCATATTCATACCATTGTTAATCTTGCATGCACACACAAAAGCAACTTTTTCCTTTGAAGAGAATCAGTAGACAGTGTACATATTAAATTGATCAAGCAATAGGAGTTTGATACTAGCTCTATTTATTACTGTATATTATTTTGAAAATATTTATCCAGAACACCTAGAGCTTTTATATTATTGAGTCTTCATGTTTTTATATTGATAATTGACAGAATGTAGGCAAACAGATAAGATTAAGTGGCCAATTTTTATTTTAGAAGAGTTACAATATTCAGATAATTTGCAGTGAACATGCTCACAAAGTGAGAAAAGATTTAGCTGTTGCAGTCTTACAAAGAAGTTAATGGACCTAATAAAAAACCCTAAGGCCCCAGATGATTAGTCATTAAATCTCTCTCATTTCATCACTCTTTTCAGTCGTCTTGTGGACAAATATTCTTGATTAGAAGATATAAAATATTTCTGAAACTGAAATTGGATCTTCATTCTACCAGTCAAGGCTAAAGAAAATGAATACAGATTTTCACCCTTCAAATGAAACAAACAAACAAAAACAGAGAGAGAGAGAGATTGTTATATCCAATTAAGTTAACATTGTTATATCCAATTATTTTAGTTTTTGCCCGCAATCATACACAATTAAGTAAAATGCATTTTAGGGAATATTCTTCAGGGTCTAATGCTCAAAATCGTATTCAGTACACCCTTAAAAATGAATGTTATGCAGTGGTTCTTTGTAGTTCTTCAAACTACAGGTTCTTTAAAGCACATACACTACCAATCAAAGGGGTCCTTTATGTATGTATATGTATGTATTTAGAATAAAATTATTTTATTCAGCAAGGGTGCATTAAATTGATCAAAAGTGACAGAAAAGTCATTTATAATGTTACAAAAGAAAAGATTTCCATAATGCTTTGCCTTTGAATCCTAAAAAATGGATAATGGTTTCCAAAAAAAAAAAACATATTAGAATGTTTTTTAAAGGATTATGTGACACTTCAGACAGCTGATGAAAATTCAGCTTTGCCCTCACAGGGGGAAAAAAATCACTTTTCAAATATATTAAAATAGAAAACAGTTATTTAAAATTTTAATAATATTTCACAATTTTACTGTATCTTTCATCAAATAAATGCATCCTTGGTAAACAATAAGAGACTTCTATCAAAAATCTTACTGACACCAAACTTTTGAGCGGTAGTGTACATGCAAAAATAGATTTCTAAAGAACTAAAGAATGTTTTCAGTGGAATCTAGAAGAAAGTCTTTTTCTGTCTCATTAAGTTGTAAAATCTAATGGGAACCTTTTATTTAAGAGTATATGGCAGAATATTCATTCTACAGAACACAATTCTGACAGTTGAATGATGTTTGAAAATGTGTTTATGAATTTAGGTATCAACAGGTTAAGAGAAGCAAGATGAAGACACCTAAGTCTGGACTGTCATTATGGCATCATTAGGCTCACAGTTCCCAAAGAAAATCTGAAACCTCTTGTCCACAAAGGTGTTCTTCTTCAACAAATATTCCAGTTGCTGCATAGACATCTCTATGACCTCTGCTCCTTCTTTCTCATTGAGCCCATAGGCTGCAAAGGCCGGGAATTTGGATCGCTCATCAAAGGGGGCATTGTGATCGTAATTGATGCAGCAGTAGGCCGACCACAGGTAGGTAGGAACGGCCACTCGATCGATGTTGTATCTACGGATCATCCTACCAGATGTGGCGACCCCCGTGACTATGTACGCCTTGCCGCGGCAGTAGTTGTTGAGTCGACGGCGGATGATGTGCTCGTGTTGTTTCCAGTGGCCCACGTTGAACTCACGGATCTGTGGGACCACATTGGTAAGGGTGTACGTGGCTGCCTTGTCATCGGGGTGAGCCTGGTGCTCGTCGGGGTTCAAATGACCTCGTTCGAAATCAACAATGTTTGAGTAGTCTTCCAAGACGGCCTGGGAGTCTGAAAAACTGTTGTGGACATCACTGGGAGGAAATGGCTGCATCTCACCAGAGTCTGATGCTGTGGAGAGCTGAATGAGTACAGAATATTTAGGTAAAAAACAACAAGATTTTAAGGTAGCCTATTTTCAATAAAATATGCACCATATGGAAAATATATAAAGATATTTTGATGTTATTCGTTGTAAAGGTGTTTTTTGCACTTTTCATGTTCTTAAACTGGCTATAAGACCAGCAAATCAGCTTACCCTGCTGGTAAAAACAGCTTAAACCAGCCTCAGATGGTCAATTAAACTGGTCTCTCAGATGGTGTTCATCTGGTTTAGTATTTGGCAGTCTGACCAAAGCATTTTAAGGGTTTAAACCAGCTAACCAACCAAACTGGGAGATGATAAGTCCAATTAAGGCTGATTTAATTTTAGTTTTTAGCAGTTGGAGTTTAAATGAATTGCTCAATCTAAACTGTTACTTGTTTTTATGCATCAAGTCTACAAAAGTTATTGATACTTGCAGTTATCAAAGCTTTACTCATTATGAGCGAAAACGAGAACTCGACGGTTGGTTACCTGAGGCTCGAACATCCAAGGAACGTCAACCTTCTTGAAGCCGTCGGAGCGTTTGAAAGTGTACGCAGAATACACCGGGATGTGACCCACCGCATCATACAGAGTGACATACCGAGGCTTGCCGTTATAACGCTGGCAGATCTTTTTAAGTGAGTGGTTCTCCAGACCCCGTGGGGGAGTGCCCATATACATAAACTCACAGCATTCGGGTGAGAAATCTTTCTGCACTTCTGAGCGCACAGTGACGAGCAGAAAGCAGAGAAACACCAGCAAAACAGTCTGGTGATCCATTAGATTGAAATGAAACAGCTCTCCTTCAAAATCTCCTTTGAATAACTCCTAAGAAAGTGTCCTGGGGTGCTCATTTTCCATACTGCAGTGATAGTCAAATAACTGCTCACCGCTCACCTGACACACCTGACGGTCCTGCAACTGAGTGGATATAAAAAGACATCAAAAATAATCAAGATACCTTCAATTTAAACCAAACAAAATACTTTTCTTCAATATATAAACTACTTATTCTTCTTTTCACTTGCTCCTCTAAATATTTATATTGTTTTAATGTTTTTGTTTTAAAGCATTAAAAAAAGAAAGAAAAGAAAAACCTTCAATATTAAAAAAAACTGTTAGAATTTAATCTTCAGATTTTCATTTATTATCATCACTTCAAAAAGTCCAATATAAAATAAAAACACTGAAAATTATTTTTTTTTAATTATTTGCATTGCTTATTTCAAAATAAATTGTAATATGTATTAAATTGTAATTTTCAGTCGTTCATTCATTCTTTATTGTAGCCCCATTGTTTTTGCTTGTGTGTGTGTGTGTATTTATTTATTTATATTTGAGTTCATTTATTATCATCACTTCAAAAAGTCCAATATAAAATAAAAACACTGAAAATTATTTTTTTTTAATTATTTGCATTGCTTATTTCAAAATAAATTGTAATATGTATTAAATTGTAATTTTCAGTCGTTCATTCATTCTTTATTGTAGCCCCATTGTTTTTGCTTGTGTGTGTGTGTGTATTTATTTATTTATATTTGAGTGTGTGTGTGTGTGTGTGTGTGTGTGTATGTATGTTATAATAATACAGTAAAGACATAACAGTAGCCTATTAATGATAACAAATACAACAATAATAATAATTATTATTATTATTAACAGCAAAAACAAAGAATATCGTTCGAGTTTGACTGTTGTTCGAGATACAGTGATTCTGGCGCATGCTAGCAGTAGATGGCGGTAATGCGCTATTTTAGTTTTCGAGCTTGCGTCAAACAAAAAGAAGAAGAACTTCGCGGTTCATTGGATGAATTTCTCATGTGGTTCATGTCCAACAGCCATTTTTGTAAAATACAAACAGCACGACCGAGCGAGACAGTCAAAAACTAATTGCGACCGTTGCAGATACAGGGAAAAATATATAAAGAATTCAGCATCGAACACACGCAAGACGAGTGTTGAAAACCGAGACATACCAGCAGTTCAAACCATCGGTTCCTGCAAAAAACAGTGAGTTCTTTAGAGAAGATCCAACTCTGGAGAAAACAGTGAATGGCTAGTTTAGCCTAGCTGGCCAGCAGGCTCGCAGAAGAGGTGCGTGCTAAATCATTTTCAACTTTTTTTAAAGGGAAGTCTGCTTTGTGCATTGGTTGGTAATCACATTTTAGTGGTAATCGCACACATATGTCGTGGGAGTTAATCGCACTGTAGCAGATGGTTGGAAGGCTCGTGGAGCAGTGAAGGCCTGCAGCGCGAGTAGATTTGAGACGTTACTGATGCGTTTCTTGCTCTTGGTCTCCTTAAAACGTCTTAGACTTGTTTCGTTGTTTATAATTAGATTATGTCTTAATCTTCATTAGAAAACGCCTCTCAGTTTCAGGCGTGTTGCTTGTTTGTGTTGCATAACAGCGCGGTAAGTGTTACTCACGTTGAGTTGAACTGTTGCTTGTGGAGTTATGATTGTAGTTTGGAAAGTTCTCACACAAGGGGTTTGGATGCGTTTTGTTATTTAGTCCCTTTTTGGCTTTTGCAAAATGTTTCTTAACCCATTTAATCCCACCAGCAACTATTACCGAGTGTGACGTGTCTAAAAGGATTTGCTGATGCTTTTTACACAGAGTGGTCAATTATAAAGAAAGTGCAGAATGTCTTGATTTCAACCACATTTGTACATGTTTTGTGTAAATGGTCCCATGACCAGAGTTTCATTTTATTTGCCTCTCTTAAAGGTATGCGTGTCGTAAATGCAATACAAATAAAACTACTATTTTGGTGCATATAATATTTGAAGGGTCTACTTCTAAAAAAAAAATTCAAGGTAGTTTAACGAGGTAACGTTTGATATAAATAAATAATTGTATTTATTTGTAACTGCCAGCACAATTGCCAAACATTTTAAATTGTTGCTTTTTTTCTTTGTAACTAGTAGGTCTTTTTGAGAAACTAATCAGTTTTGGACTCTTGTTTATACGTGCTCAATCAGCTGGGATTCAGTGGATTTATCATAACATAAGTAGTTATAATACAGCAACGTTACCTCGGATTTTAAAATGAATGTTGTAAGCCTATTTATATTTACATGGGGTGTAAAATAGAAGTTGTATACTTGAGTTGTTGAAACTGTTATTAAATTATATTTAAATGAGACCAGTATGTGTGCAAAATGTTACTTTAATAGTCCTGTGATCAGTGTTGCTATTGTTAACTAAAACTAAATGTAACGTGTGTATAAACTTAAATTAAGTGAATGAAAAATGTTGCCTTAGCAACTAACACAAAATTTAAGTACTAAAATTACTAAAACTGAAGTAAAAAATAAAGATAAACAGAATTATGAATATTTTAAATTATCTTTTTAAATAAGTACTGTAATTAAAAAAAAAAACTTGCTACGTGTACTGCGTTAAGCTAACTGAGACTTGTTATAGCACTTGCATATCATTGCTCTTTTGTTGATTTTGATTGCTTCGATTGTCCTCATTTGTAAGTCGCTTTGGATAAGTGTCTGCTAAATGTAATGTAAATGTATTAGTAGATAAATAATGCTTAAACAGTACCTGTGTTAAAATAGTTTTTAAATGTAAAAAAAAAAACCTCCATCCAGCCTCTCCATTAACATGAGGCAGAGTGCCCGAAGCGTGAAACAAATAATGCGTTCTACGGAGCCACTAAAAGGTTAGCCGCTTGCTAGCTGTAGCCTGTTGCATTACAGTACATTCATCGTGATGTCTGTCAGCCATCGACGATGGCATCATCTATCGGCCCAACCCTAATACATAGCATTCACATGCTCCTTGGTAGGGTTGGGAACCGATCGGTTCTTATTCAGAACCGGTTCTGTTTTTTGAAAAGAACCGGAACCGTGAGCAGTTTCTAAGTTTCAGTTCCGAAAACGGTTCTGGTGCGACACTGGTGCTGTTAGCAGCCTTGCGCCGGCGTTTCCCGTAAAGATGTCACAAACCAAATAACGTAAACGCCGCCCTGCCTCTTTAATTACTGAGCATATTGTTTCCCATGACGCGGACTCCACAGACGCGCCGCGTCTTTAACTGCCGAACACATCGTTTTCCACGACTACGCGCACTCGCATCTTTGATAAGTGTGCAAGTTGTTTTGTCTGACTGTACATGTACCGGCAGCACGCAGCTCCTGCCGCCACTAAATTACATTATATTTGTCCCATATTGTCATTAATATACATACTGACTTCAACTTGAACCACTAAATAAATAAACTGCTATTATGTAAGTATGAGGGTTAGATTATTTATTTATTTAGTGTCATTTCAAGAGTGATAAACAAAGTGATAGAAAATATTTTCATGCATTTCAGATGTTTAAAAATGTGGAAACCACTCATTGCATCACAACATCTCCTGACTGCATTATTATTTGTAAAATAGGGGCTTTATGCAGTGTGTGTATACATGGTTATAAGTATAATATTTCATTAAGTTAGGGAAATGAACAAGTGTCTTAGCCCTCAAGCGACTATTTGGCCAACCAGCTTATTCCTGCTTGAAAAGCAAAATGTTATTGATAGTGTAAAAAACATCAACTTGGAAGCACATGCATTACTCAACATTACTTACTACCTTCCAGCAACACTACATTCAATTAAGGGAAAATAGTAAAAAAAAAATAGTTAATTTAAATGGAAACGGAATCGCTAGGCATAACTGGAATCGGAACCGGAAAATTTCTAACGATACCCAACCCTACTCCTCGGATGCTCTCCTTTCCCGAGTTGTGCTTTCCTTACTCTTAAGGCTAATAAATGTATTTCACGATCTGGGTCATTATTTAATACAAAACCACACATAATGTTTCTACTGTATCTCTGTCAATCATGCTGATATTTAGTTAAAATTAGTGAATTGACTGAGTGCTGTCTGTCACTGTCTTTAATCAGTGTTGTGAATGACTCTATGGTATGCCACATGCACTGTAATATGTTTTTTAATAAATATTAAATTTTCAAATGAAAATAGCAACATGAACGTTTTATAAAGTATGCGTTCATATGTGTTAAGAGCTAGATTTTCGCTGGAGGAAACAGCTGTGGTGTGTTGAGGGGTGAACGCAGCGAAAACTTACAGTAAATGGGAAACCGATTGCTCCCTCGTGACCTTTTGTAAACTGTATTTATGACAAAGAACTGCAAGATACATATATTATAACAATCTATCGATAAACAGAAACACACACCTTGTGTCCTCTGTTTCTGTTCGAATCCACTCGCGCTGCGCCGCCATGGTCTGCGGATTGAAGAGCGCGCTGAAAGACGGGGAGGAGACGAAGTCTGCCGCCGTTTTCATATGAAATTTAAAGGTGACATATTATGCCCCTTTTTGCAATATGTAATATAAGTCTCTGGTGTCCCCAGAATGTGTCTGAAGTTTCAGCTCAAAATACTCCACAGATCATTTATTACATAATTTTGAAAATGCCTATTTTGAGTGGAAGCAGAAACAAGCTGTTTTTCGGGCCTGTGTCTTTAAATGCAAATGAGCTGCTGCTCCCCGCCCCCTTTTCCAGAATAGAGCTGCGCCTTTACAGCTCGTATCTGCTAAAAACATCTGTTTTGGTTCTTATCATCATGTTTATCGTGCTGAAATCATGCGTTTTAAATAGGGCTGCACGATAAATCGCATGCGATATTTAATGCGCATCTTGTCAGAAAGCCGGTTCTGTAATCAGCGGTAAATCTCCATCACCTGCGTGCTTTCACATTGAGCAGAATTAACTACACAGAGCCGTTGTTCACTGATGAGCTGCGCAAAAAATCGCGCGAATATGAACGTGGTTTAGCGCAGCTCGTCAGTGAACAACGGCTCTGTGTAGTTAATGCTGCTCCATGTGAAAGCACGCTAATTACAGAACCGACTTTACTAACAAGATGCGCATTAAATATCGCATGCGATTTATCGTGCAGCCCTACATCTAATATTTCATAAGAATATTGATATATATTTTGTTTTCCTATTCAATTGTTTTGTCTCCCAAAATGTGTAATAAACATGCTTTTAGGTGTCCTCTTCAGTGGACAAGTATGAAATGATGTTCTGTTTCATAAGAGGAAGTCATATTTTGATTTGAAACCCCATTAACATTTTCCTGAGATGTTGATTTATGACAGACAGTTTAAAAATGAGACAGATTTAAATGATAATTACAAAATATTATCATATTTCCATAAGAGTGTCACTAAATTAATATCAGACATATTTGAAGACCAAGGAGAGGGAGTGGTCATAGT